TTACCAGAGTTGCATTAGATTCGTAAGAGAAAAGAGAGTGGCTATGATGTTGCAAACGATAGTAGCCTCCACCTTCTCCTCGTCAGCCACCGTCGAGTGGTGGGTTACCACTCCTTCTCTTTCAATTTTGGTCTCTCGTTGTAACCATAAACCCTAATAGAAAAAGGTATGGTGCTTACTCAAATTCACCATTGCCACCCCCACCCAAATTCTCTATTTTTTCACTCTCCTCCATCATCAAACCCAAAATCTCAAGAAAAACATCAACCCCATAATAAAAAACTAGCTTAATCCACAATTCTCTCTCTCTATCTCCCAAGCAACAATCGGCGAGCTTACTTATTAGTTCTTGAAGAAAATAAAATACTCAGAACAAGATCCATCCCTATGGAGGTTTCTCAGAAAAACTGAACAACGACGAGTGAGGATAAAAGGTCGACGGCAGTTTCTGCTAACGTGCTCAGTGGGTTTCTTTGTCTATTTACTTTTTAGGGTAAAATAGGAAGTCATGAGGCAAAACTTTTAAGTTGGGTGTTGCGAGATAATATTTGGGTTCAAATAAAATTTCCCAAACCTTAATCTCAAGCGGCAAAAAGCAAGCCTCAACCACCGCCACATCATCCGCGAAGGAAGAGATTGCCACAAATTGAAAAGTGCACCCGAACCAAAACTAGATTTGAAAGTGTTGCGCACAATCAATTCATCAAGAACAACAACATCCACAACCACACCTGAAAGGAAGGTCAAAAAACATACAGGAGGAGCGGGAGGGAAAACGGGATGTGTAAAACACCGTTGTTCCAACATGAATCGTTCCACACTTTGCCCAATTTTTTTGGAAATCTAGTTCAGCAATGGGCTGTGAGCGTTGGGTCTTGTGTCAAGATAGAGTCCAATATTCCGAGATCTAATTCATGATTATGGGTTGGAAAAAATGAGGGGTAGCAAGGGAGAGGTAGGAAAGAAGGGTGCGATGTGCGGATGGTTTTGCTTTGCTTTCTTTCTTAAAGAGAGAGAGAGAGAGAGAGAGAGAGAGAGCTGATTGAGGTAGTCATTAGAAGAAAAGTAAATATTTTTTACTTACTCTTTAATAGTTATTTTGCACCAGAGAATTTCTGGCTCACTTCGTACACAAAAATGTTTATTCGTCTTCTGGGCTGGGAGATTTAACTGGAACACTAAAGAGAGAGGTGGTTTGAAAGTTGTCAGGGACCATGAAAGATTCACCTTTGCTTGCATATTCTGAACAATTTGTACTCTCAGCTCCAATATCCAGTTTCCTGTTAAGAACAAGGACAAGAATTAAACATCACAAACCAAATCGAAAAAGAAAACGCAAAAAGAGTCATACCTTCTTCTAAGCCTTCTCTACATCAGATAGAGCTTGAATTGAACATTGTCCAGGAATTGGAAATATGCATATCTCCACGTCCTCTTGAGAAGCAAAGGGCAACAGAATCTCAAGAACCCTACAACGGATAACCCAACCCATAGACTTTGATCCTCATCATCGTCCAAATCCTGGTTGTTCTCATTCTCATCTGCATCATTGTCATTACTTGACAAGCACTGGTTTGGAAGTGGGGTGCCGCAAAGTTTTGGATTCCCTTTGAATGCAGACGCATTGAAGCCTTGGAGCTGAGTGCCAGCTGGTATTGATCCTTCAAGATTATTGTATGCAACAGTAAACGTAGACAAGAAATGGAGACTTGATAGTGATGATGGGATTTCACCTAACAGACGGTTACTGTTGAGTTCTAATCTCTCCAACTCTGTGAGGCTGGAAATTTGGTCTGGAATGTTGTCGGAGAAGTTGTTGATGCTTAGATCCAGTTATTGAAGAAATTGCAATTGGCCAATCTCAAAGGGTATGCTGCCACTTAAATTGTTGTTCCTGAGGGAGGTTACTCTTGGCATGTTGCTACATACTTGCACTGTGAAGACAGCATAGTTGCATTATTACCGCGTTTGAAGTGGATGGGCAACTCAAGTGAACAATGGCCTGTTTGATTCGCAGCCTTTTGTGATACTAACGCTTGTAGTCTGCAAAGCTCCCCTTGAAATTCACCTGAAATCAAGTTGTCACTCAACAACAAAAAGAAAAGACTCAAAAGAGTCCCAAACCAACCAGGTATTGTGCCAGTAGTGAGTCTGTTAAAAGACAAATCCAGGACTTCCAGTTTCCTGAACTCTGAAATCCATACAGGTATTTGACCTGTCATATGACAGCTATATAAATTGAAAACACAGATTTTGTAACCTGAAATCAACAGTTATATCCCCATCTGGCATTTCTTCACCTCGAAAATTTTCTGAAAGAAGGAGCACCCTAAGACTTTTGAAACCTGTAAATATCTTCATTGCCCCCGTGACATTGGTGAGTTTGTTACGAACAAGCGAGGGGAAGGTCAAGTTTTTCAATTGAAGAATCTCAGATTGGATTTGTCCCTCGAAATCATTTGTAGCCAGTCGAAGTGCTTTGAGGGACTTGCACGAGTAAAGGTTTATTGGCAAGATACCAGTGAGTGCATTATTTATAAAATCTAGTTTACTAAGTTGAGTAAGTTTAGAGAAATTGAGCGCAGTGATATTCCCACTAAAATGGTTGAATCCCAGGTTTATTTCAACAAGGTTTGTGCAGTTCATCAAAGATGGGGGCAGAGGCCTTCTAGATTGTTGTAATGAAGGTGCATGAGCTTTAATTTGGAGAGCTTCCCAACATTCTCACCGATGGGTCCGAAAAGGCTATTAGTAGATAATGAAATTTCTTGAAGGCCTGAGCATTGTAGATATCAGCAGGATGGAACTCTGAGAGAGTGTTGTCGCGAGCACAAAAGACCTCCAATAGTCCTAGAGGAATTGAGCCACTGAAAATATTGCAGGAGAAATCCAAGACTCAAAGCGAACAGGAAAGAAAACAAATGGAGGATGGTATTTGGCCAGTAAAATGATTATTGCTGACATTCAGACTGCTCAAATTCCAGGCATGCTGGAGGAATGAAGATGGAATTGTTCCGTTAAACTGATTGCTGGACAAATCCACCGTCCGGATATAACTTGATGATAGAGGTAATGGTAGTTTTCCAAATAAATGGTTTTCGCTCAAATCAAGGATCTGAAGGTGAGTCAAGGACAAAAAAATTTGAGCCTCAAGAGGACCGGAAAGCATATTGTGGGAGAGGTTGAGATGCGAAAGATGTGTGAGGTTTCCAATAGAGCGGGAAATGCATCCCTTGATACATTTGGAGGGCTACAACAAATGAGTTACCCTACCAAACATACCACAAGTGATGCCCTCCCGTCGGCAACAATCGTTGGAAGACCAGTTTAAACTAGAAGAGTCAATATCAAATGAAGACCGAAGAGAGTGTTGATCAATTTTTCGGCATACAGGGGTTGTGGAAATGCAACTTGAGACGAAAAATATGAAGAGGAGGCCATAAGAAATTGGAAGTGCCATGTCTGTATATTTGATTGCTCACAAGTTTGTTATATGTAACGCACTGCATTGTTTTGTTTTGTTTAGACTAAACCTAGCTCTGACTCCTACTAAGCCTAGGGTGCGTTTGTTGCACCAGACTACTTGTGAACTGGACTAATTTCAGGACTAAGTTAAACTGGCTTGGCTTAGACTAAATAGGATAAAAATAGTCAAGTGTTTGGTGCAGTGCCGCACTAAGCATCGGACTAAAACATTGAGCCAATTTTTTTGTTAATAGGAGAACAGGAAATTAAGAAAGAAATGCAACACCACATTGATCCAAATTCATCGTTTCCAATTTTTAGGATTGCAATCGATATGATATCAAAAGGTCCATAACTCTAGAATTAAACCCAAAATAAATAAAATTAAACCCAAACAAACAAAATTAAACCCAAAAAAAAAAATTAAAGAAATTTAACATCAAAACTAAATCCAGAACTAGAAACGATGATGGGCAGTGTAAAACACTAGAAAATGGAGATGAGCAAAGCATGCCGGTTATGACAAAGACCACACACTGTATATTCCTTCGAGAATAAGACTTTGAGGCCCTAACAAAATTAACCCAGAACTCAAAATTAAACCAAAAAAAAAAAAAAAGGAAATGAAAGAAATTAACATCAAAATTAAACCCTGAATTCCACCCTGCAACACCAATCCATAAGTTTTCCTACCAACCAAACAAAATTAACCCAGAACTCCAGAAGGTCCAAGAATGCTCTAGAGTGTGCGACTGCAGCGCTATTCCTTTCGATGCCTTCGACGACACCAAATCTTGGTCGTCGACGATTTCTTCTTCTTCGAGCTCGTCGTCATCCTCCCTCGACGATACCCAATCTTGGTCGCACAAAAGATGAAGGTGGTGACTCTTCTTCTTCGAGCTCGTCGTCGTCCTCCCTCGACGATACCCAATCTTGGTCGCACAAAAGATGAAGGTGGGTCACCGCCGACGGCTACGCAGAAGAAGACGGAACGTGGAGGGACTAGGGGGTTTAGCAAGCAAAAGTGGGGATTGGATGTCAGCCTAGTTTCCTTCTTCTAGTCCTTGCTAATACCAAGCGAAAGCTTGGGATTAGGCTGAGAGCTTTAGCGAAGCGCGCAGGGAATCATAGTCGAGGCGAGTCCCATTTATTTTAGTCCCACAACCTACCAAACGTAGGATTATAGTCCTACTTCAGGTAGTCCAAGCCAATCCCTCCTAAGGAGGTGTAACAAACATGCCCTAATGATGCGTTTGTTGTATCGAACTGTCTCGGATTGAACTAACTTCAGGAACTAAGCTGGACTGACTTAGAATAAACTAAGTTGGAATAGGTTAAGGCAGCGTCTGATGCAATGTTAGACTAAGAAGCAGGATAATGAAAACAATACTGTCACCATTTTGGTGTTTGCTCAGACTAGGACTACATTATTATTCTATTAATTGCTTTTTTATTAAAGATATTATTAAAATTAATAATATTGGATGAGAGTGAGACTCAATAAAAATACAAAAACCAAATTACTCACTCGAAGATGTCCCAATTGTTAGTCTTTATTGAAATCAACTTTGTAAATTGTAATAGTGATGTATTTTGGATGACACTAAACCAGCTAAGGTAAAATGGGTGAGATTGTAGTCGCTCACTAGTCAGCCACAGCCTTCGGTTTGGTTGTCAGTACTTAGAAGCATCTCTGAAATTGTTCTATAACACTGCCCCGAAATTGCAGTCTTCAATCCCTGCTTGCAAATCTCTCCCTACTACTGTGAAAAGGAGATAGCACAATTAAGATGATAGAACTGAACCAAAGCGATAAACTATAAGCTTCGGTGAAATCAAATGGCAGCTGAAGAGTAAGAAATAAACAAGAATAAAAATAATCACCATCCTCATCTCATGAATATCAATGCACCAAGAAACAAATACAAATCATTCAAAAATAAAAATAAACCTCAGGTTTATAGGTTTACATAAATGCAAGATGACATTTATGTAAACCTGTGTGGATGATGGAGAACATTAGTTGTTATTATATTGTAGTTGATAAAAGCTATCTTTCTTCTTGTAATTCATTTGTAAATTTATACGAGTACCTTAGGTTTATGTATTACCATCACCCAGCTTTAAACCATATAAACCGGTGTAGTTGACTGATTTTGTAATGTAAAAGATTGAAAATCAAGATGAAATTTAGAAGTCAAGATAAGTGGGAAGGGGATGCAAGATGAGTGGAAGTCACAAAGCAGATAGCTTTTCATATGACCTCACAGGTTTACAACTAGAACAGTAGAGGCACTTGAAAAAGGTTAAGGATGCAATCCAATATCACCATAAGTTTGAGTTTACAACTAGAACAGTAGAAGCACTTGAAACTAGGATGATAAGATGGTAACTTCATTCAGGTTAATCAAACATTTTAGCTAGCAGCAAGTGAAGGCTCGATACCAAAGTCATAAACTATGATTTTAAAGCACATTTCAGCCAACAAAACCCAGAGTACTCATGTCAAATATTAACAGCCAAAACCCAGAGTACACATGATAAACTATAATTCATTGATGGGAATGAAACATCTGAGAAAATATGAACTCAACAACCAAACCCAGTGTACTCATGTCAAATATTAACAACAAAGGAATTTGTGTATGTATGTCAAGACTCAAGAATCAAATTAAAAATACCACCCAGGATAAAAATCAATCAGGGAATTTCCGATTGATTTATCACCCAAATAGAACAAAAGAATTAGAATGGCCCGAGAAGATTAACAAAACATCTACAGACCATCTACAGCTCCACTCAATACATAAATTTAACTTACAGTATAGTTCTTCATCCTCTGGAATATGGCTCTGCTTGTCAGTACTGCACTTATGATCACACTTAGCCCTGGTTCAGTGAGAACAACATCTGAAGCACCTCTTGCAGCATCAGTAGCATCAGCTACAGCTATACCAATATCTGCTTTTTTCAAAGCAGGAGCGTAATTGACACCATTCCCAGTCATTCCACAGATGTTCTTCCTCTCTTGCAGCCTCTTTACAATTTCATATTTGTGTTCTATAATATTAAAAAGACGTGTTAGATCAATATCAAAATAAAAATGAAACAAAAAAAATCTAAATAAAAAGTGGACAATTGTGATAGTGTCGCCAAACAAGTAGGCAGAGCAACATGCCCATGAATCTAGGCTGAATTTAAACCAATAACAATGAATTTGGAAATGCAAACTACTACCAAGAAATGTGAGGTTTATAACTTCTCATTAAAGAGCTTGCATGTTTAATTAGAAAGCGGAAAGGACAACGAAACTCCGGTAGAACCCACCAGGAAATACTCCAGCAAATCCATCAGCCTTCTCAATCAACTCGTCCACAGGGAGGGAAGCTATGGCTGCATCCTTGTCTTGGCCAAGCAATGCGGAAGATGGGTACATGTTTGTTCCCATACCAAGCCTCTTTCCAGTTTCCTTGCCAATGGCAACCTGATCCCCTGCACAACAGGAACACAAATTATACTGAATGAGTAAAGCATCGAAATTCCCCAGGCAGGAGAAAAATAGGAGGGACTATATGTAGCCATGGTGTAATACACAGTTTTTAAGGGGAAATGAAGCTTTGCACTGTCGTGCCTGGGAGGATCAAATAATGGCAATAAACCAACGGACTGCCATGGTGTCCAGGGACTCTTTTGTTTTCTCCAGTACTTGCTGGAGATAAATCAATGACAGAAATATCAGAAATTCAGTTGACACAGCAATAAAAAATATCACCCAAAAAAAAAAGGCTAATGGGTTATAGATCAGAAAGGGATGCTTTTGCATGCTCAGAAGATTGTTAAAAGGCCATAAAATGGTGATTTTTATGAGCAGGGAACGAAGAAAAAATTGCAATCGACTTCCAAAAACTTAGCAATTAGATCACATAAGGAAAAACAGCAGATACATTGGGCAGCAATCAATTCAAAAACTACCCAATCACAGAACACAAACGCACCCAATCACAAAACACAAACCCACAAAAACGCACCTAATTTTTGTGCTAGAAATTCAAAATTTCCAGAGATTTCGAGCATAAAACAACGCAATCGATCAAAACCCAATAATTATTACGATCAGCAAAACAAAATTGAAGAAATTGATCGTCGGATTCAGAATTTACCAGACGAGAACAAGGATGAGGGAGCAGGACGAGGATGACGGAGTAGAACGAGCACGAACAGGATGAGGGAGCAACTGTCTCGTAGATGGTCTTAGCAATCCGGTGATATTGGAGGGTTCTCGGTAAGAACTTCTAAGGAAGGGGTTAGTCGGAGCGAGTCCGACTTAATCCCATTAAACATAATTCTTATGTCAAACAAACACAAGATTACACTAACAATTAATTCTATCGAGTCCAATGAGAGCTAGTGAGCCCAAACAAACACATTCTAAACCAAAAATGCCCTTGAACGAGAGAATAGAAACGAAGAAATAATTATGGGGTGGTGGGTTACATTCGTGAGATGGTTTCAACGCACCATATCAGGACAACCCAAACTTGGTGGTGAGCATGTTGAGGCCTCGTTTGGCAAACTTTATAGCGAACCGGATAAGATAAATAATACAGACACAAATGTTTGATGTAGTTTTGCACTAAATAGTACTCAGATTAATTAAATTGGGCTCATATCCTTATATGGTATATACCTGCTAAATTGTCGAACTGAAAACCTATGTATTATTAGTCAGGTAAAAAAACCACGATGTGTTTTCCCGCTCTCTCCCGTTGCATCCCTCTCTCTCGCATCGTGCACATGACTCATGCCCGTTGCCGTCGATCAGCCGTCATCTCCGTCAAGATTTCTTCTTCTTCTTCTTTCTGTTCAGCTCTAAATTTTTGGTGAAGTTACATTTCCTTTCAAAATTAAGGTTTTGAACCCCAAAATTTAAATTCTGTGAAATTACTTAAAGTTGGACAAAATTTAAATTCTGTGAAATTAATTAGGGTTGGAAGATGAACTTTCTTGGCTGAATTTCTGTGGTTGCAACGGCCCACCACGATGTAAATTCAATTAATCAATTTCCTTGACAGGATATGAAACCCAACGACCTGCAAGTTCCTCTTTCGCCAGAATCTGGAGTTGGATCTCACCGTCGGCTGCGCTTGATTCCGCACCTTCATAGTGCTTCGATTTGCCATGAATCCACACCATAACTTTTCTGGGTTGAGTGAAGAAGATCAATGACAACTGATTGTTTGCAGAAGATTAACTACAAAGAAAGGGCAATGCCCCTTTTCAGATTATTCTATCAATTTTTTTCCTTTCTTTTTTTCATTTTATTTACAATTTTTTTTCTTAAAACTAGTATGGACATTGTTTTTCGTTTTTAGTCCGATTCTACATCAAACGTCTGATTAATTTAGTCAGTACTATTCGATGTAGAAGTTATCTTATCCAACTAAAACAGTCATTACAGTCCGAGCTGCCAAACAAATGAGAGTTTTGTGACTCTCGAATTTGAAAAAATTGATGGTGGTATTTTTTTATTATTATTAATGATTAGTATAGTGGTTTCATATAGATGCAACTTATTCCGAGATTAGACAGAGCAATACAGTTACGACCTGAAAACTTATTAGTGAGTGGGCTTTTAGGTTCAACTTATAAACAAGATAAATGATTTCCGAAAGGTTTTTTGTGAAATATTGTGTTATTTTATATATTGAAGACATTATGATTTATGTGTTTTGTGAACATTATTATGGCATGATCATACATCTTTTATTAGCTCATCATGTATGCTTAAACATGTGTCTATAGTAGATCACGACCAACTTCACGTGTATGCTTATAATGAATTAAGAATAATGTGGTTCAAATTTGCCTTTAGGAATAATCGAAACTAAGACCTCTCACTTGCAAGTAAATAAGAATACTACTAGATTGTAGTGGCAATATACATGTATTCTTTGAATTAACTGGTTTAATATTAATGGCTTAGTTTTCATATTTATACGTATGGTCCCAAAATTTATGAGTTTTACAGCGAGGAATTATGGGTAATGCTAGGGAGACAAAATTATGTAAACTAAATGACATATAAATTGATGATTGAATTTATTACTTAAACGTTGATAAACGTGCTTATTTCTATTGGTAACATAACATTTTCATTTATAAATTTTATCTACAAATTTAATCTCTCCAATATTACCACGATTATTATGTTTAGAAAAACAAGGTTTTAGAAAACTATCCCAAGTCCAAGTGTAGGAGAAATTTTTAGTTATGACGAGAATATGGTTGGTCCATCACGTGTTTTTATGCAAATGGTGAAAACATTTAATTTTTAAGTTATTAAGCTTTTAACATACATAACCCACTATTTCTGAGAATCTATCAGCTGACAGGATTTTGTTGGTGGGTTCTTCTGCAGGTATAATATTTTTGAATTTTTATGCTCTTTTAGAATATGTTTCTGCAATTTTTATTGGATTAAGCATGCTGGTTATAAATTAAAGGGGGTGTTTTTATGTGGGTAGTTGATTCTTGATTAATCGGTTTAAGTGGATGATTTTTTTGGATCTATGGATTGTGTATTAGTTTGTGGAGAGTTTTTGTCAAAATTTAATACCAAATTTCATAAATGTCATATTTTATAAAATCTTTCAAAAATATCACAAAATTCACTTAAATAGACTTAAATACCTTTAAAATTAAAACCAAATAAACAAAACTAAATTCAATGAATTAAACCCTCAAAATTAAAACCAAATAAACATAAATCAAAGAATTTTAATTCAGTTTGCATGATTCTTTGGGTTGTTTGGCCGGAGAGAAATTCTAGTGTGTGAAAAGGCAAGATCAGTCACCCACTTGATGTTGTTCAGCGGGCTATTGCATGGTTACAGGAATGTATGGCAACTGTCCCTCGCTCGCCGTCGTTGCGGCAACTGTTGCAGCATCGGTAGAGACTCCTAGAGAGGGTTAGGTTAAGGTGAACGTGGATGGAGCTACAAGGTTAGAGAATAGTGTGTGAGGAAATCGACAACGAATCTGCATATATCCGCCATATTGGTATGTTCGATCATTCACTTGATCTTTCAGAAATTGATCAATAAGGTCTCCATGAATTTTCACTCCAACAAACTTGCACAAGTTTGATATTACCAATTTCGCTAACGGCCTCGCACTTTGAACAAAATTGCCAAGGAGATCTATTCAAGTGTTAGGTTTTGAATTTGGAGGGTATCTAGATCTATTCACATGAATGTTCTGCTATATTTGAAATTTTTTATAAAAAATGACATTTATGAAATTAGATGTTAAATTTTGACTATGAATGATAAATGCTCGTCTCGCATCACCAAACGAACAATGAAGAGGCGATGGTAATTTTGTAAATAAAGCGAAATCCGAACCCAATCAGCCCATTGGCAAACTCACAAATAAAAAGAAATTGAGGCAAAATTGCACAGTACCATCCCCCCCTCAGGGCGGCGCCCGGGGTGGTTCTCTAGACTAAAGTAAGCACCGTTTTGTGCAGTATATACATCTTCTGGAAGCATATGAACATTGTTAAGTTGCAACTTGCAAGCTTTTCAATGGATCAATATATAATATTTGTCTGCAATTTCCCAATATCTTCAAGGTCGCGTAAAGATTCTTTTATGTGTTAATCCATGGATTTGAAGAGGTTTTGTTTCGTTTGATTTGACTTCAGTAGTAAACAACAAACAAAATACTTCACAAAGTCACCTACAGGGAATTAAATAATTTTGCATGTTGATTAAATTTTTCTTTGTAAAATGTGTTGGTTTGACTTCTTACAATGACTTTTCAAGTGCCCACAGGCATTTAGATTACAATTTTTTTTTTTCCTTTTTGGGTGCAAGCAATAAAGGGAGAACCAAACTTAGGACTTTGAGTGAAACAGTAAATATTCTTGTGGACCAATATTATATAATTTTATGGTTTTGTCTGCAATTTTCCAATACCTTCACGGTCGCGTAAAGAATCTTTATGTGTTAAATCTAATGGATTTGAGGAGGTTTTGATTGGTTTGATTTGACTTTAGTAGTAAACAACAAACAATAGACTTCAAAGAGTCACTTGTCAGGGAATTAAATATTTTGCATTTTGATTAAATTTTCTTTGAAAAACGGGTTGGTTTGACTTCTAACAATGACTTTTAAAGTGCCTAAATGCATTTAGATTACAATTTTCCTTTTTCCTTTTTGGATGCGAGCAACAGAGACTCACATGTAAAACTTTGAGTGCAACGGTAAATATTCTTAATCATTTGAGCTACAAGTTCTTTACGAGATTAGATTTTTAAAAATTACAAAAAGAGAGAGAAAAAATGACTTTCTTTAACGCTACATAAAGGTGAGGGAAAATAAATTTTGAGACAGTTTAATTTTTTCGGTTCTTGTCTTAGGAAAGGAGAAGAGCGAGACTTGAAGTTTTTGTGCAAGAGCAAGTAACGTGCCCTACTACTAATATAAAATGGTCAACAACTTGTATATCAAGTAGCAACTTCAGATATCACTTTCAACATCTGGCTATTTTTCAAAGTGTTTGAATATGATTTCTAATGCGAATTTAATTTTTTATGTATGCCCTCCCGTTTTCTTTTTAATCCAATTTTTTATGAGATGTGATATCCACACATTCTATTTTACTTCTCACATACTTTTTTAATTTTCGGCCGTCGGATCAAATGAATTGAAGAAGATCAACGAACAGAAATTATCAAGATGTGTGTGAGAAGTAAAATAGGATATGTGGATAGCACACCCCTTTCTTATTAATATTTGTAAGAAAAGGCAACTATTTATTCAACGGAGAATTATAAATAATTATAAGGTAGATTACGGAAAACTCGATCACCAAGAATGCTTAAATTCTTGACAAATTAAACGGCAGCCTGCAAGTGAATTTTCAAGTGACTATTTCGGTATTCTATCCTGACGAAATTCGAAGACATTTGCGTATGAATTTAGTTAGGAAAGTTGGATGCATGTTTAACCCCTTAATGTTAATTCCCTTTCTTTTTTACTCAGTTGTTAGATTGTTTGTATGCAGCAGCAATGTGGTTAATAAGTCCTTTATTTCTCACTGAAAAATTACACTGATCAACATATGAAGCGATCTTTAACATCGGAGAGGAACTGGAAATACGCATATCGCCACGACGTGATCAAAGCTAAAGAGCCACAAACTCCCCAAAATCCTACAATGAAACCAAGAGCCACTGAAATATAAAACCATGGAATTTCATTCCCATTGCCATGCACATCTTCCATGTTCTTGGTTGCATTATCACTTGTGTTCTGCTGGCATTTGTTTGGAAGCGGGGAACCGCAAAGTCCCGGGTTGCCCTCAAAGGCAGTGGCATCGAAGCCTTGGATCTGAGTGCCTAACGGTACTTGTCCTTGGAGGTTATTGTATGCAACACTAAGTGAAGCCAAGAAATGAAGACTTGATAGTGAAGCTGGGATTCCGCCCGACAGATGGTTTCTTGAGAGGTCTAGTCTCTCCAAGTTTGTGAGGTTAGATACCTGGTCCGGAATGCTGCCAACGATGTTGTTGACGCTGAGATCCAGCTCGTGAAGGTTTTGCAACTGGCCTATCTCAACGGGAATGTTGCCACTTAGACTGTTATTCCGGATGTAAATTGCTCGCGGCAATTTGGACAAATAGTTGTACTGCAGAGCTGTGACAGATGCATTTGTTCGCTGCGTGTTGATAGGTAGCTCGACATCACCACTATCTGTTTGAGCGGCAGGCTTCTCGGATACAAGAGCTTGTAGTGAGAAAAGCTCCTTTGGAAGTCCCCCAGAAAGTGAGTTGTTGTTCAAGCTTATGAAGAAAAGACTGGGAAGACTTCCCAACCAAGGAGGTATTGAGCCTGTGAGTCTGTTGGAAGACAAATCAAGGGCTTCGAGTTTCTTGAGCTTTGACATCCACACCGGAATATGACCTTTAAGTTGGCAGTCCGATAAGCCAAAAAGGCGGAGATTTTGAAACCCAGAACCAATCATAGCATCACCATCCGGCAGTTCTTCACCTATAAAATTATGTGGAAGCATGACCACCCTGAGACTTTTGAAACGCATCAATATATGCAGAGCGCCGGTGACATTGGTGAGTCTGTTGCTACCAAGTGCGAGGAAGGATAGGTATTTCAACGAAACAATCTCGGGCTGTATTTGTCCCTCTAGATAATTACCGCTCAGGCGAACTGCTTTCAGAAACTTGCATGAATAAAGGCTTTTTGGCATGACACCGGAGAAGTAATTGCTCCCAAGATCAAGCTTGATAAGTTGATCAAGTTTGGAAAAATCTAGCTCCGAGATATTTCCATCTAAATGGTTGGATTCAAGATTGAGTTCAATAAGGTTTGTGCAATTCATCAAAGATGGGGGCAGAGGACCTTCAAGATTGTTGAAATGAAGGAGCATGATTTTTAATTTGGAGAGCTTCCCGATATGGAGAGGAAGTGCGCCACTCAAATGATTGAAGTAAATCTCTAGGATTGTGAGACTTGTGAGATTGACAACGTTGTCACTAATGTGACCGAAAAGCTGATTGGAAGGTAACGAAATTTCGTGAAGCGCTTGGGCTTTGAAGAGATCACTAGGAAGAGTCCCAGAGAGAGTATTAAAGCCTGCGCGAAAGATTTCCAATTTCAAACAGTTTCCTAGTCCGAGAGGAATTGAGCCATTGAAATCGTTGTGGGAGAAATCCAAGACTCTGACCGAAGAGGAACGAAGACAAATGGAGGAAGGTAATTTGCCAGTAAAATGATTTTTACTGACATTCAAGCTGCTCAAACTCCAGGCATGCTGGAGCAATGAAGATGGAATTGTTCCATTGAATTGATTGTTCGACAAATCCACTATTTGAATGTAACTAGATGATAGAAGCAATGGTACTTCTCCAGAGAGAAGGTTATAGCTCAAATCAAGAATTTCAAGGCGACTCAAGGACAACAATAGTCCAGCTTCAAGAGGACCGGAAAGCAGATTGTGGGAGAGATTGAGGTGCGAAAGATGTGTGAGGTTTCCAAGAGAACAAGAAACGCCTCCTTGGAGCCGTTTAGAGGGCAACAAAACATGTGTTACCCTACCATCGGCATCACAAGCGATGCCTTCCCAGTGACAACAATCACTGGAAGACCAATTTAAACGAGAAGAGGACATATTGAAAGATGACAAAAGAGAGTTGTGATCTGCCTTGTTGCAAGCATGGTTTGTAGAAACGAAAGCACAGAACACAAAAAACAGGAAAGGGACTCCATAAGGCATTATATGACTAGGTTCCGGCATGGCGTTTTTCGCTATGGCTGTACCGGAGTTATATTGCTCACGTCGTTTCGGGGGTATATATACACTCCTTTGTTTGAACCAAAGGAGGTAGAAATTAACAAAGGGAAGAAGGTAATTAGGTAATGGTTTGTATTCTTGTGCTCGGTGTTTGAATTTCTCAGTCTGCGCTAAATAGAGACTTGAGTGAAATGGGACGTCATTGACAATGGAGGGTGTCTAAGCATGGGTTGGCAGCAACGTAATAGAATGTCTACATTGACTTTTCGCTTGTGCTTTTGGAAGAGCTAAGAACATTTTTGTCTTGAAACATTTTGTTTGATAAAAATTTTAAAAGCCCTTTGAGTGTGAAGTAGAAGCATTTTTAATCACTTTGACAATTTTTTTTATGCAATCAAGTTAAGGAAATTCAATTAAATAGGAGAGTTGTGTAGTTAAGTATAAGAACTAGAAGTGAGAGGCTCATTAATGAATTAATTTAGTGAATTGTCCATGATTTAACAACGTGTAAGTACTCTTACATGAAAGAGAATGTTACTTGCTCGATTTTTCCTTTTTAAAATTTAAATATCGTTCTTATAAAAAGAAATGATACAGTTACCCGTAATAATTATGTAATATAACATGATGTAGACCTATCATCCATTGACTTATTTCATGATTATATTTTTTTTCTCTGTCTAGGCTTTGAAATTTCAAATCTATAATAATAAAATATGGAGAATGCTTTGAAATTGCACTGACATCACATGCCACTTACCTAAGTTGTTTTTTCTTCGCTTGCCAGATTGGACTCAATGGGTTTACTTAAGTCATGATCAAAGTAAATTGATGGAGCATTTGTTTATCTTTTTTGCTGGGTAAGATGCTTTATAATATGTTATAGTTACACTAACGCAGAATAGGAAAAACGGCATGTTGAGAATAGTTTCACATTGATGGCAGCGGGATCTTGTAAGAGCTTATAAGTAAGTTAGGTTATTCCTCATATTTTTAATTGGTTTTATGAAGGGACCTCAACTTCTTCATGGTATCAGAGCCGATTGTCCCACGTGTGAAGTTAAATGGTCGCATGTGCTTCACGTCACCCGGTTATGTTGTTCACGTGTTAGACTTGAAAATTTACCACACATGAGAGGCGCGTTGAGAATAAGTCATACACTGATAAGAGGAGAGACATGGTATAACCTCAACTTCTTCAGTACCTCGAGACATCATCAAATTGTAAATCAAGAGATTTGTTTGCCAAAATATTTAACAGAAGAAACGGTTACGTTGGTGTAGCAACATATTTCTTCCAGAATGTGCCATGCTACGTACGTTAACAAGATAATTGCAATTTAAACTTCATTGTTTGATGAAAAAAATAAAAATCGTGAACCGTTTTCCTTTGCGTTTCTCCGGATATCCAGATTGTTTTCATGTTTCCAACAGTGGTCAATTTGCAGGATTAAGGTGCCATTGCCACCCATTTCCTGAACCGCCTTTTCTTGCAAAAGTTGGAGCTCGGCAATTTTCGGCTTCTGCTCTTGTTGGGATTCGTTCAACAACTTCAAGTTTTCAACCCATGCAAACTAGAAGAAGACAAAACCCAACTCACGGTAGTTTTTTATTTTTATTTTTTATTTTATTTTATCATTTTTTCTTTTAACTTTCAGAAAAAAAAAAAAAATATGAACCCTTCTCAATGATTCTACGTATTCACAGATTTTGAATTTTTGATGAGTAGTCCCAATTCAATCAGGACCCTTTTTATTAGTTTCAAATTTGTTCTCAACCAACATGATTTCAAAACTTACGAAAATCAAGGAGATTTTGCCGAATAGTTTGATGTGTTATGTGACCTAAACATTTTTGTGGTGTTTTTTTTTTAATTTTTTTTAATCAAAAATAAAATTTTATTAATGAAAGGGAATATTACAATTTGTGATAGATGGGTCTAAGTCCAAACAAACACAAAACACTAGATAAACAAAGTAAGACATAGTAGAGTAGACAGGCTTAAGCAAAATGAGAGCTACACTCATAACATAAGGGGAGGCCTGCACATACTTAGGCCTGTAGGCAACAATAAAAAACAACAGGAAAAAACTTTAATCTCAAACAACAAAAAGCAAGCCTCCACGGCTGCCGCATCATCTGGGAAGAAAAAGATTGCCCCGAACTGAAAAGAGCACCTGAACCAAAACTAGATTTGAGAGTGTTGCGCACAATCAATTCATCAAGACCAACAACATCCACAACCACAACTGAAATTAAGGTCAAAAAACATACAGGAGGAGGGGAGGGCAAAGGGGATGTGTAAAACAGCCTTGTTCCAACATGAATTGTTCCACACTTCGCCCAACTTTTATGACAAGCTGGTTCAGCAATGGGCTGTGAGCGTTGGGTCTTGTGTCAAGATAGAGTCCAATATTCCGAGATCTAATTCATGATTATGGGTTGAAAATGAGGGGTAGCAAGGGAGAGATAGGAAGAAGGGTGCGATGTGTGGATGGTTTTGCTTTGCTTTCTTTCTTAAAGAGAGAGAGAGAGAGAGAGAGAGAGAGAGAGAGAGAGCGCTGATTGAGGTAGTAATTAGAAGAAAAGTAAATATTTTTATGGTTAAACATGTGGTTTAGAACTTACTCTTTAATAGTTATTTTGCACCAGAGAATTTCTAGCTCAATTCGTACACAAAAATATTTATTCTTCTGGGCAGGGAGCTTTAACTGGAACACTAAAGAGAGAGGTGGTTTGGAAGTTGTCAGGGACCATGAAAAATTCACCATTTCCTGTTTAGAACAAGGACAAGAATTAAACATCACAAACCAAATCAAAAAAGAAAACGCAAAAAGAGTCATACCTTCTTCTAAGCCTTCTCCACATCAGATAGAGCTTGAATTGAACATTGTCCAGGAATTGGAAATATACATGTCTCTATTAACAGTAGTGTAGAGAAGCACAGAAATGCAGAAAGAGAATAAAAGAGAGAGAGAAAGTAATTGATTACATTGATACTGAATTAATCTTTACAACTATGAGAATACAGTTTATATAGCCATCATGACTAACTTGCAGTCTAAGCTATTTAACTAACTAATTTTGGTAACAACTCTAACAACCTTTGGATATTGTCAACATCCCCCCTCAATCTCAACTGGGATTGCCCAGTTTGAGATTGAAGCAGACTATCCAGCAATCAACTTCTTACAATCACAGAAATCAAGAAACACAACCTTCTTCGGCAATCAGCCTTCAATGAAGAAAGGGAACAAGAACTGCACTCCGGCAATCGGCCTTAATGGAGTTGCACACAATAACAACAAACAAAATTTTTCAAGAACGTTACTCCGGCTATCGGCCTTTAAGGAATAACACACAATATCTGAGACAGAACTTTTCACTCCGGCTATCGGCCTTATGGAGGAAACAAAATGCATTCAACACACTCTTGGCAATCGCCCTTTTTCGAGTGCACAAATCTGAAGTATACGGCTATCGGCCTTGACACTTCCAAAATTCCCAAGAAAATTCTCACTGAGACGTTATCACAAACAGTTGATATGCTGGAAAAAAAAATAGTAATCTAAGATAAAACCTGAGAACTTGAACCTTGAAACCCAGAACACACTGTCCTTACTCCGAATCACTTGCAGACACTTCCTTATCCTTTTCTCTCCCTCTCTGTTCGCAGTTGTTGAAGCCCGGAGACGCAAAAATGGCAACGGGGTTGATACGGAATCAACAGAGAGATGGAATTTGGGTTCAAGAAAGACGAAAATGTGATCATTCCCAACTGGGTTTTGGAAGCTCGATCCGAATCCATCAAATGAGTTCTCAAGAAAGAAGAGCCAAAATCTGCAAAGAGGTTGTTTTCGGTGGTGTGCCTATCGTTGGTGGCAAAGATGGAGGAGTTGGACGTGAAGCTTCCACCACTGTCACAATACGCCGTTGGAGACTACACCTTTCCATGTCATTTCGTCGGGATTGACGGCGGCGGCATCGTTTAGAAGACAAGGTAAATATCCATCGATTTATTTCTGCCATCCATGTGCTCTATGCCAGGAAGGTCGTGAGATCCGTCGCAGGCTGCCTCATCCTGGTTTCAATGCGCAACCAGTTCTGGTTATGATTCCTCCTGAGGAGCAGGGCATGAGCCGTGGCTGAAGCAGAAGACCCCGGCGGCGGAGTTGGATGGGAAGCAAAATTTGCAGTGAAACCCAGATGAAATCAAAGAAAACCTATGCGAAATCTCAGAGAAGTTTACATAGAAAAAAAGGAAGAAAGAGCTCTTGTATTACGAATAAGGAAATACGCGGAAACGAAAGAAAGTAATGAAGAAAGATAGAAGAGGAATCGACCACCAAGATCCATAGCGTGAGCCTTGGTGGCTCTGATACCATATTAATAGTAGTGTAGAGAAGCACAGAAATGCAGAAAGAGAATAAAAGAGAAAGAGAAAGTAATTGATTACATTGATACTGAATTAATCTTTACAACTATGAGAATACAGTTTATATAACCATCATGACTAACTTGCAGCCTAAGCTATTTAACTAACTAATTTTGGTAACAACTCTAACAACCTTTGGATATTGTCAACAGTCTCCACGTCCTCTTGAGAAGCAAAGGGCAACAGAATCCCAAGAACCCTACAATGAAACCAAGCACAACGGATAACCCAACCCATAGACTTTGATCCTCATCGTCGTCTAAATCCTGGTTGTTCTCATTCTCATCTGCATCATTGCCATTACTTGATAAGCACTGGTTTGGAAGGGGGGTGCCACAAAGTTTTGGATTCCCTTCGAATGCAGAGGCACTGAAGCCTTAGAGCTGAGTGCCGGCTGGTATTGATCCTTCAAGATTATTGTATGCAACAGTAAACGCAGACAAGAAATGGAGACTTGATAGTGATGATGGGATTTCACCTGACAGACGGTTGCTGTTGAGTTCTAATCTCTCCAACTCTGTGAGGTTGGATATTTGGTCTGGAATGTTGCCGGGGAAGTTTTTTTTTTTTTTTTTTCTGCAAATAATCTTGTGGTAAACTATGAAGCATGATCTAGGATCTTTCTGGTATGAACCGCACATAATTGTTGTAGACATGATCTAGGATCTTTATGATCATTCGAGGGGGTAAACATAATTTCCTCATATGTTTTATAATTTCCCTATGTTATGGTGTAGGTGCCCCGATTGCAAGCTCTGCTGTAGATCAGATTGAACAAGTTGTGGGCTATGTTAGTCTGGGGTATCCCTTCGGCATGCTTGCCCCAATCCTTTTCGGAAGACACCACAAATCCGTACTACAATCCTCAAAACCCAAACTTTTTGTAATGGGACACAGGATGGGTTCACTAGCGTGAAACAGTTAAAGAACAAGCTAAAATCTGCAGCCGGTCGTGTTGAAACACACCTGATTGAAGGAGCCGGCCACTTCCAAATGGAAGTTCCTGCTTATGATGCACAGATGGTGAATCTGTTGGGAAAAAATTTAGAGTACACAACTCTAGCACAAGTGTTGGAGAGACAATACAAGTAAACAAATTACTTGTATTACACAAACAAAATATTACAACACAAACTATCAAAGACACTCTTGAGAAGCTATGACACTCACTCACTTTCTAGAGACAAACTCTAGAACACTCACACTCTTACAAGACTATTCTTTCTTCTCACTCTCACTTGCTTGCTTGCTTACAAGCTTGCTTGGTTTGTTACTTTGTTACATTGCAACACATGCACACACACCTATTTATAGGTGTGGTTTTGCCGACTACAATTGCCCACCGCCATTGGGCTTTGTATGGCAGCCACACAATTGTACAAGTAGCTAGATCTTTCTAGCTAATGATCATGCACATCCACCGACATGCTTTCCTAATTGGCCTTATGTTTTCCTAGTTTCTAGTACATTCTTATTACAAACAATCATGCTTAATCATGGCTAGAAACGTCTAGCATATTATTATACACACACCCACCGACTTACTAAGATAATGCTAGAATTATCTAGCATATTGATATGCCTGCATGATGCACCGACTTTGGTGCTAGAATTTTCTGGATTTGTGTAGAATGGGCTAGGGTTGGTCTCTTTTAACACTCCCCCTCAACACCAACTCATTCTTTTCTTCATGCCGAGTTGACGACGAAGCTTTTTCTTGCATACCCATTTGCATGATATGGGTTTCACATCTCTTCGCTTTGGCATTGGATTCCAAGCTTGATTTAGCTTTGTTGTAGTGACCTCTTCTCCCAACTTTGAAGCACTCAGGTCCAACTGCTTCTTCTTCTATGACTGCGTTGACGTATCTCGGATTTTGCCTCCGGATTCTTGTTGACCTCCTTAGTTGTGATTGTGGAGTTGATACTTCCACTTCACTAGGTCTATCTTCTTCTGGTTGTTGATATATGTCAGCTTGGCAAGGGTTTTGGGGCACTACTTGCTCAACATCATCACCATCAAGCGAATCATCAGACTCATCTGGTCTCGACTGGATTCGAACAATTTGCTCCCCCATCTTTTGTTGCAACTTATCTTCTATCTCTCTTGAATCAGGCAACGCCTCCTTTTCTGAGGACCACCAAGAAGATGCTTCATCAAACACCACATCTCGTGATGTGTAACACCTTCCATTCGTAGGATCACAACATTTCCACCCTTTTCTTTGGCTGTCGTATCCCACAAAGATACATCGGACTGCCTTCTTGTCAAACTTGCTACGTAAATGACTTGGAACAAATACGTAGCACACACAGCCAAAGACTCGAAAGTAACTAACTGTAGGTTTCATATCCCACAGTTTCTCAAAGGGTGAGACAAATTCTAACCTGGGTTGAGGAAGCCTGTTGATCACATAAGCTGCAGTTCTCATTGCTTCGGCCCAAAACCTTCCTGGTACATTCTTGGCATGGAGCATACTTCGACATATTTCTGCAAGATGCCGGTTCTTTCTTTTCGCTACGCCATTCTGTTGTCGCGTATTGGCACAGGTGAACTGGTGACGTATTCTACATTCTTGTAGATACTGGGAAAACTCATTCGAGGTATATTCTCCTCCATTATCTGTGCGTATGCAACGGATCTTCTTTCCTACTGCTTCTTCAATTGTCTCCTTTAACTCTTTAAATTTTGAAAATGTTTCAGATTTATTTTTCATAAAGAAAACCCACACATACCTCGAGAAGTCATCAATGAACATCACCATGTACCGCATCCCACTTATCGATGGTTGCTTGACGGGCCCGAACACATCAGAATGAACCAACTCCAACGCCTCTTTCGCTTTAAACTTCGACTCTTCGTATGGTAGTTGATGTGCTTTACCATACTGGCATCCTGCACAAACCGTGTCTGTTCTCACGTCAAGCTGAGGTAGCCCCTTAAGCATTGACTTCTTCATCATCACATTTAGCTTGTGATAGCTAACGTGTCCCAATCTCATGTGCCATAAATCTGCTGTCTCGTTCTTCCTTGTCTTGTCTATGTATGCAGTTTCTGCTGACATTACATAGACTGACTGCAATCGCCGTCCCTCCATTGTTGGCGTCCCTAAGATCTTGAGGTGTTGATACACCTTCACATCTCGTGGACCAAACAAGACATAATTTCCCAACGACGTCAATTGCGGCACTGAAAGCAGATTTTTCTTCATACCTGGAACATGGTAGACATCTTGAAGCGGCACATGGTTAGTGCTGTATCGGGGCTCAATTACTGTTTTACCGATGTGAGCAATCGGTAGCCTCGAGTCATTAGCCGTCACCACTAAGCAGCCTCCTTTGTACTCAGTCAGACTTTGTAACTTTTTCTCATCACCTGTCATATGGTTTGAGCAGCCTGAATCCACGATCCAATCATTCTGGTAGTCAATTGACTCCAGACTTGTTGCTGTGAGAGCTGACTCTTTCTTCTCTGTAGCAATAGAT